GTATAGAAAGCTCAGAAAGTGGCTCACAGTTTGAAAAATATATATTCTGCAATTGCCGCAGACATGAGCTTGAAAACAGAACACTGTACCAAAAGCATGGTTATTAACCCTCTGTTTTCTCTTTTAGACTAAAGTCAAGCAGATTTAAAGTTCATGAAAGGCTGGAAATATATCAGGTTTCTTTTCCCCCTCTCATGATTTTATTGAATATAAAATATTAATGAAGGATGAGGACTTACTTATCCTGCCTTATTTTCCCTTTTTTTTTTTTTTTTTTTTTTTTTTTTTTTTAAGTAGGCTCCACGCCCAGTGTGGAGTCTAATGCAAAGCTTGAACTCACAACCCCAAGATCAAGACCTGAGCTGATTTCAAAAGCTGGACACTTAACCAACAGAGCCACCCAGGTGCCCCTACTTATTTTTAAAAACATAATTTCATATTTTTAGAAAATTTGTAAGACTACTGCACAGATCTTATCTTTATAATGTGGGCCATTTAGAGTAAGTTGACATGGTGCCAATTTAAGTGTGTATTTACCATAACAAAACTCTCTCTTACATAAGCTCTAGAAAACAATTAAATTACCATCTAATCCAAAGACTACAATCAAATTTCACCTATCATCCCAGTAATGTCCTTTATAATAAAAGATGCAGGCATGGCACTTATTTGTTATTTATCTTTATTGTCCTTTAATATAGAAAGTTGCCTTAATCATTCCTTTGCATGGCTTTGACACTTTGGAGGCACCTCAATTCATATTTGCCTTCCCTTTCCTCATACTAGATTCTGATTATGCATTTTTGGCAGGAAAATTATAATTGTTATTCTGTGTTTTTCTCGTTGCCTATTTCTGGTAGCATTCAAGTTTAATTTTCTCATTACTGGTGATGTTAATTTTGATCACTTAATTAAAGTGGGATCTGGTAGGCTTACGACTATAATGTTGCTATTTTCCCTTTGTAATTAAAAAATAATTTGGGGGTAGACACTTCAAAAGTATTTTAATTAATTTATTTATTTTTTTTATCATCTAACTTGCTAAATTTTTTCTCAACATATACCTGCATTAGCAACCATTGATGCCCCTCAGGTGAATTCATTTGTATTATGGTATTTGCTAAAAATGGTTGATGGATGCTTTTTTTAAATTTCTTTTCATCCTAGCAAAACACATTGTTCCAGACTTATCTTGTACTTTCCTTGTCCCACTCCTAGAATCAGCCATTTTTACAAGAAGCCTTAGTTACTTTTAGTATTTAGAAACCAAAATGTGGCTGCCAGCCATGTTTGGTCTTTGCTGCTGAGGTGCTGGAGATCTCAAGTCCTCTCTGTGGATACAGCTGGCTGAGAAATTGTTTTCTTTTCTTTCTTTTTTTTTTAAATTTCAAGTTTTTATTTAAATTTTAGTTAGCTACCACATACAGTAAAATTGGTTTCAGGTGTAGAATTGGTAAAATTGGTTTCAGGTGTAGAATTTAGTGATTCATCATTTGCATATACAGAAATTGCTTTCTAAGTAAGATTCCTGACAAAAAGAAATTCCTTGTGAAAATGACTGAACACACACACACACACACACACACACACACACACACACACCTTTACGTCTTTTCCCCTTTCTGTATCTACCTACATACATTAAAACCAGACTTCACACCAATAACTCCAATACCCAACCATTATCCCAGGGTCATTCTAGTTCTTGTATTTTTATATAATTGCTGATGTCACCCATGTGCTTGAAGACATGAATCATCCATCATTTACCGTACCACTTTACTTGGACCCCTCCTTACACTGATTAGGGTCCAACATTCCTCTCTGGGTTGCTGTTTCTATCTTGCCACATGCAAATGCTTCTTACCTGCCCAGACTCCAACACTCCACACTAGACCACTGAACCCCCTTTTAGTCTATTAACTCTGCTAAGGGTCTGATGCCCTATGATAGGCTGTGCCCCCACCTGCATACAGATGTCTATTGTGCTCAGATGTAAGACAATTATAAAGGAGGTAAAAAAGGAAGGAAAAGAAAAAAGAAAAAAAAAAGATTTTGAAACAAAGGAAGTTAAACAGTGTTTTCTTCCTATAGTTTTCTCAGAATGTATAACACATAATTTCATGTGCAGTTGTTGCTGTTTTAATTCATTGCCCTTTTAAATCAAAGTAATCTGTTACAACATAAAATAACACATGCCAAATGATCTGGGCCTTTTACTAGGGTCAGATAGGCCAATGAGATACTGAGCTATGATACTGACATCTATTTTGAAATATTTAAATTTCTACATAACATTTCTCTTACATTTTATTTAAAATCACATTGCACTTTCATTGTTCAAATTCTTCAGGAAAGACTAAATTTTGTAAGCATTAGATAAAGAGGTCCCATCAAAGGAATAATGTTTATTACTGCTGATGTTTAAATATATGTTTCCCATCTAAGGCTCAGGGCCTAATTTATTTCTATATCTCTGTTACAATTTCAGTCAAATCTCTCTCTTTCTGAAACAAATTTTAAGTACATATTTGTCACAAAATTTTGAAACACTAGGAAAGTTGCAATATTCAAGAAATATTTCCAATAACATTTTAGCTCTTAGCTTGAGGGAACATTTTCTTTCTTTCTTTCTTTTTTTTTTTTTTTTTTTATGGTTAAGCTGAGGGAAACTCATTAAGTTAGTATCTTCATTAGGAGGATAGGTATCAAATATATTTTTCAGTGAAAAATGTCACAGTAAGAAATGTCAGATATGTGGGCACATGGGTGGTTCACGTTCAGTCCACTGGGTGTCTGCCTTCGACTTGGGTCATGATTTCAGGATGCTGGAATCCATCCCCGCATCGGGCAGCCTGCTTCTCCCTCTGCCCTTCCCCCCTGCTTGTGCGCTCTCTTTCTCTCTAATAAAAAAATGAAATCTTTAAAAAAAAAAAAAAACCTGTTAGATATGAAGGTATACAGACAATAAATATTTCCTGAGAATTTAATAAGATATCAAAATCTCATGAATATAATGTTCTATTTTTTGTATTTTTTCCAGAATTATAAGTACTTAAAAAATTTTAAAAATCTAGTCATTAGCAAGTTTACCTATACAAACCTACATCATTTGTAAGAAAGCAATGTAAAATTGTATATCAGTATTAATATAACTGTATATACATATACTGATCACATATTTGGTTATTATCTATAAAAAAGTTCATACTAATTAGAAGAAAATTTGCCTAACTTCCTGAGGCTTGGAATTAATGTAAATAGTGAATGCTTCTGATCAGTAAAAATCATGCTCACTTTAATTTATTATCAGTGAATTTTTATATGACTTAGCACATTTCATTTTCCTAGAATTTAATTGCTTGTGTAATGGTTTATTCATATCCCTAAATGTGGATAGTCTACGTCCTATGATTTTCATTGAGATTAATTTTCTTTTTTTTCTTAAATTTTATTTATTTATTTGAGAGAGAGAGAGACAGAGAGACAGAGATAGCTAGAGAGAGCACTACTGGGGAGGAGAGGGAGAAGCAGGCTCCCCAATGAGGAGAAAGCCAGATGCAGGTCTCATCCCAGGACCCGGGTATCATGACCCAAGCCAAAGGCAGTGGCTTAATAGATTGAGCCACCCAGGCACCTCTGAGATTAATTTTCTAAAGACTTCATGGTAAATAATATATAGTTGTTATTTCCTTTCTTCCTTAATTCCTTCCTCCCTCCTTTTCTCCCTAAATTCCCTCTTATCTCAATATTTTCCTTCCTCCTTTCTTCCCTTAAGCCCTTTCGCACAACCCCTTCTCTCCCTTCTCTAGTGTAGCAAAACTTGAATTGGAGAGAGAGAGATTTCAGTTACATAATAATTTGAGTATTATTAGCTTTGTAAACTTTTAAATTTCCCTTTTGGTCTTTCTAACTAATGGCATGACTTTACATATCAACAGAAGTAAATATATTTCTTAATATAAAATTATAGTTATATACTAGAACTCTACTTAGAAAACATTTTATTTTTTATTTTTTTTTAAAGATTTTATTTATTTATTTGACAGAGAGAGATCACAGGTAGGCAGAGAGGCAGGCAGAGAGAGAGGAAGAAACAGGCTCCCTGCTGAGCAGAGAGCCCGATGTGGGACTCGATCCCAGGACCCTGAGATCATGACCTGAGCCGAAGGCAGAGGCTTAACCCACTGAGCCACCCAGGCGCCCCTAGAAAACATTTTAAAATATTTTTGTGGAAACTATTTATTCTATTAAAACATAACAATCCAAAAAAAACCACATTACAATAATTTTCTGATATTTCTCTATGTAGTTCTAAAAGGCAAAAATCATGTTTTGTATCTTCTGAGCTATGCGAAATATACTACAATGTATACTTTCAGACTTCCAATCGGTCTTGTAAAACATAATGCAAATTCTAGAAATAAATATATGTGTTATATACAACTTATTTATATAACTAAAAACATAACATTTCCTAGTTAAAATGAATTGTGTCTACATGTTATTATTTTGATATCTTTAAGCTTTTGGGGAAGAGCTAGAATGTTTTCATATATAAAATGAAACACTTTTAATTGAAAGTTATATAACTCTAAATTTTCTATTTGCCTTAAAAATAAGCTATTCTTTGTACTTTCAAGCTTAGGATTTTAAAATAGGTGAATTTTAGTTTATTTTCTCTCAAGATGTCTTTTTAAATTTTTTGATAGGATTCTTACTCAACATAAAATATAATTTGCTTTCTCAAGACATACCTTTTTTACTTCTTTTGTAGATGGCTCACTTGTAAAGTTGGGTGATCAGAATCATGGTTTAAAATCAATCTTGATTAGTAAATATATTCTAATTCCTCACTATCTGTCAGACGCAATTGTTCTAAATTTTTAAGCACCGGTTCATTCTTCCTAATAATAACCTATATCATGACTTATAAGAATGAAGCTATTTGCTTATAGAAATATTTTATGAGATCTCAGAAATTATTGTGCTATACTTACCAGCCAAAGCAAGAATATATTCTTGAAATCTTGTTCCTATACGGTTGGTGGCTGTGCAATTATATCGTCCAAAGTCATTGTCAGATGTAGGTGCTATCTAAAATAATCATAATAATAGAAGTTTAACAATTTTAAAACAAAATCATGGCAGTTTTAAAATAGATTCTAGTATGCTCACCATTTTCACACTTGTTCAATTATTCACAACTCCTTGTCATAACTCTTTTTCTCTCTGTCAGGTAAGCATCACACCCTTTTAAGATGTAATGCATGGACCTATATTTTCACAGGACTAGGTGAAATATAGTTTAACTATTAATTTATTGGGTAGACAAATGCCATCATTTTATTATATCTATTGAATAGAAAAAGTCATTAGATATTCGTGTATAGAAAGCTCAGAAAGTGGCTCACAGTTTGAAAAATATATATTCTGCAATTGCCGCAGACATGAGCTTGAAAACAGAACACTGTACCAAAAGCATGGTTATTAACCCTCTGTTTTCTCTTTTAGACTAAAGTCAAGCAGATTTAAAGTTCATGAAAGGCTGGAAATATATCAGGTTTCTTTTCCCCCTCTCATGATTTTATTGAATATAAAATATTAATGAAGGATGAGGACTTACTTATCCTAAGAAAGAAAGAAAGAAAGAAAGAAAGAAAGAAAGAAAGAAAGAAAGAAAGAAAAAGGAAGGAAGGAAGGAAGGAAGAAAAATAATCTTTCCAGGTATGTATTTTGCTAGAAAATGTTGCCCTTGGGTAGCAATCCCTGTAGACAAGCACATTATCTTGATGGCTAATAAGAGTATCTTGCCTCCATTTCTGTTCAATTCCTATCATTCTCTTTCAGTTTAGGTGGAAAACAGCTGACCTCAGTCCTTACACATTTGAAATCCGTAATTAAGTTAACCTTCCAGGAATCTATTGCTGAACATTGGGGCCAACCTTGTAATTCTAATGTACCGAAATTCTGAAGTATCAATTCAGAAAAGAGATTTGATGATAGTAATAGATATAATTTTCAATCCCAGTAACTATTATTAAGAGAGAAAATGCTTACAACAAGAGTTGCTGTTAATTTCAACTCTATCCCAAAAGGGGGTTAAATGATTTTGTGGTAATGGGAGGCTCTTAACTAAAAGTGCAATTTTGAGGTCCATTGAAGACGATAATTCTGAAAACGCACAAAAAAGCTGTGCCATTCATTCCCTAGTTAGCTGTCTATCTAGGAATAGATCGTAAGTTTAAGGACTAGAGACTTTAACCATTCTTTTGTAAGTACTCCTGAGTGATTAAAACATTCATTTTTCTTACATTCCAGTTTTTAATAAACCAAGCTAACTTGACTTGGCTGTAATTTTACTAGTGAGAAAGGAATCTGCCCCCAACATTTCTACATTTTGCAGGCATAGGAGAGTTATTTGTACAGTCCATAGGGAACAATGTGCACTGAATTGATAAAATACAGACAGGATGGCCATGACAAAGAATCAGGACTATTGTGCAGCCCCTCAATATTAAGCAAGTATTTTAAATAGCCAGTTTCGTTGGAACAACTTTTAAAAGGCTCAATTCAGGGTTTTTTCATTTGTTGGTTTGTTTTCTGTTCCTGGAAGTTGACCTATCAAAGATAAAAGTTTTACTGTTTTATCTGGAATCATTTCTTTATTATGTTGTATGATTAACAAATTCAGAAAACACCTCTAGTAATACAGATTATTAAAAAAAAAAAAAAAAGCCCACAGACCTAGATATAACCTGGCAAATCACGATCCCTGCTGCATAGCTGATGTGTCCTAGGAAAGCAATGTGAATGCAACATTCAATAGTGACTTTATGACCAAGCCCAGTTCAATGAAATGATAGGTAATTTTATTAAAAAAAATATTGTACAGCAAAGGTATGTTATAAAGCAGTTTAAAAATATTCACACATTTAAAATATACCAATTATTGCTGATATTTATCCAGGAAGTGCTAGGAACACCTACATGTGACTCCACTTTTTTCACATTTTAATATGCAGGTAAAATAATTCAAGATTACTTAAGATGGTGGGCTTTAATAGTACATAATATATTGATCAACAAATATAATTTTGAACATCAAAATACGAGCTAGGAGTACAATGCTAATAAAGGAGTTCTCTAGTTGTTTTCCTAAACGTTCATAAACTTCATTTCCTCTTTCTATGTGTTCCATAGTGAGAAAATCATATGTTTAATAGTTAGCCTTTTACTTAAAGATAAAGAACAACACCACAGATGATCAAAAGCACAATATTATTCTAATCAACCTATTAGAAAGTTCCTACATCAATTGTTGCCCATATATTAAAATGTTGGCTTATTACCTTATTACCTTAGGAAGTGCTCAGAATTTAAGCAAGTATTTAACCAAAAAAAAAAGGTTGATTTTTACAGATTATTTTATTAGCACCAATCCAAAGGATTTATGGACTATTCTGTTATGTTTTAAAATTCATAAATTTAAAAGACTGAATTACATATTTGCTCAATGAAAAAGGAAAAACTTTAAAAACCAATTCAAGAAATCTGTTATTGACCAATTTGTTATCAACTGCACACTGTATTTTTGTATATTGTATTACACGCTCTTAAGAATTAGCAATTATGTGACTATTATAATAATTCCTATGCAAAAAAATAATAATGCACTATCCTAAGCAAATATGAATGCTATTAATTTAAAATCTGTAATGCTTATCATTGCTTTTTTTTGGTAGTTACTGTCATTTTGTTTTATTTTAAGTTGTATTAGCTACCCATTCGTTATTCATTCAGGGCTTTCATTTAATTTTAAAAAATAGTATATACATAAAAAGTGGATGTTCAAAGGAAATGCTTTTTTTTTTTTTTTTTAAGATTTTATTTATTTGTCAAAAGAAAGAGAGCACAGACGGGGAAGAAGCAAGCAGAGGGAGAAGCAGGCTTCCCGCTGAGCAAGGAGCCAGATGTGGGACTCAATCCCAGGATCCTGGGCTCATGACCCTAGCCAAAGGCAGCTACCCAACCAACTGAGCCACCTAGGCATCCCAAGGTCAATGCTTTTTAACCAATAAATCATGTGGTCTGTAAAAACAAAAACCACTTAGTTTTTACTTTGGGGTGGAGAGGAATGCCATTTAGGCAGAAGATTAAATAATGTGAGAGATTTATATGAATAAAATATTTAAATATAAAATGTTTAAAATATTTAAATGTCAGATTTATAACACATTGCTTAATACTGACTACGGGGAATTACGAGCTATCCCAGAAACTGAAAAGTGGTAAAATGAACAAAGCAGAAATTACACATTAGTCATTTAAACATGAATGAACTTAAATCTACCTGTTATGGAATAAATTGTGTCACCCCCACAAAATAAATATGTTGAAACCCTAACTTCTAATGTTTTTTGAAGATAGGGTCTTTAAGGAAGTAACTGAGATTGAATGAGGTCATAAACATGGGCCCTGATGTCCTTATAGGAAGACAAGACACCACAGTTCTCTTGTTCTGTCCATGGTTAGAGGGCACACCTGCAACCCAAGGACAGAAATTTCACCAAAACCCAGCCCTCTGGCACCTTGATCCTGGACTTATAGCCTACAGAAATATGTGGGGGGGAAGGAGGTTACTTTATTTAAGCTACCTGATCTGTGGTATTCATTATGGCAGCCTGAACAAAGTACCCCAAACTGAAGTTAAACCTCACCTCACTTTTTAACTAGTTAAAAACCTAAATTTTATGTTAAATCTAACCAAGTTTCTTTGTGAAATTGTGTCAATTCCCAATAGTTCTTCTAATAAAGTTACAAAGTAACCAACTTAAATTCAAACAAATTTAGACACCACCCATCCCGAGGTGTTTAAATCCTTTGGAATGGGTGGTGTGCACAGATATTTGCCTTACTAATATTTTACAGTATATGTATTTGTTGGGCATGTAAGTGATAGTCAAAGCCTTTTTGCCCTAGGCCTAGAAAATCGATATAAAACAATAGTTCCTTTTAGAGTCCTACCCTCTTATCTTTTTGGCTATATTAATAAATAAATAAAATAAAATACAAAATTAAAAAGAAAGAAACAGATAAAGACAATCATTTAATGAGCAAAGAGTCAGCTATCCAAATATTTGGGGAAGTGATGGCTAAATCCTTCTGTCAACCAAATTTTTCATGAAGTCCAGTTACCAGGTAGAAAAGTAAATATGGCACCAATGAGAACACCTTTAAGTTAATACATTGAGTGTCAAATGTTATTTTAAAACATGAATTTTTAAAATGAATGTAAATTGAATTACAGTGAAAAACATAGCATCTTTTTAGCTAAATAAGGTTATTTGAGAGAGCTTCCCAATTGTACTGAAAACATGAGGAATTGTAAGGTTCATGATTGTGATCATAGACACAAAAACTTTGGGAATTGATACACACACACATAATCTACAATTAATAAATAAAAGGTATTGTATTCAAACAGAATTAAAAAGCCAGGCACTTGGCAGTATAAAGAGAATTATCTATAATCTTAATTTAAAATATAAAATGAAGTGAGGCATTGAACAAGTAAATCTGGTTTATTTAGAAACTTGTAAATATGCACCCACCAAAAAGTTATGTATGCGTCTTAGATGGAGGGCATAATCTCAAAATCAATAACTAGTATCAGCAACACTTCTGGTCCTTAATAACTGATGAATTACTAATTCCCTCACCCTATTTTTTCCTGATATAACTTTTTTCCAAAAAAAAAAAAATAATGAAAAATAATGGCTTTTAGGGACGCCTGGGTGGCTCAATGGGTTAAAGCCTCTGCCTTTAGCTCAGCTCATGATCCCAGGGTCCTGGGATCGAGCCCCACATCGGGCTCTCTGCTTGTCAGGGAGCCTGTTTCCTCTCCTCTCTCTTCGCCTGCCTCTCTGCCTACTTGTGATCTCTGTCAAATAAATAAAAATAAATTTAAAAAAAATGGCTTTTACCATAGACTCTTTTTTATACAAGAGTGAGATATTATTAATCATTAATGGTCCATGATCTAAATGCACAAAATTTCCTTTTTAAGTAAATACACATGAAAGAGACAAAATAAAATTTGTATGTGTATATATATATTATGTAATATAAATGTATATTATATAATTGTATTTATATTAACATTTTATATGCATTCTAAAATAGTAGGTGACTGCTAAAATAATACAACTTATTCATATGTACATGAAGACTTACCTCTAATATCATCTTTCTCCCTGCACTATATGTCTTTAAATTAGTGATGTTTTTAGCTGGAAGGACTAATTTCTCTTTTCTCCAATGGACTGATGCTGGTGGATTAGATTTCACATCACAGCTTATATTGATCGGGTTTCCTTCCCAAGAGTAAAAAATTGTTTGGTTTGATATAAACTTGGGAGCATCTGAAAAGCAAAACAATATAACATTTATAGACCTCTTCTTTAAGATAAATAATCACTTGATTATTATGTACAACAATAATTACTGCTTGAATGCAAAAAGAAGCCACAGAAATTCTAATGTCATATATTTAATATGTGACATGAGAACTCATGAAAATATGTTATTTGACTGTTTCATCAAATAATTTTTAATTAATATACAAATATTAAAAGTTGGCCAATTATTAAAGTATGAAAGATTAATGCTCAGAGTTAATTCTGCTTTTGATAACCTGACAAAAATTATCTACTCAGTTAATTAATAGGTATCTACATATGTGAAATCTCTTTCTGGAACAAACCTCTAATTATAAAGTGTGAGTTTAGCATAACAAAATCGGTGGTCTTGGGTCATATTTAAATCTTGTCTTACTCAAAAAAAAAAATCTTGTCTTACTCATATAATTTCTTCTATGAGATATTTTTAAACAGATATAAAATCTAAGTTGAAATGTCAATATCACAATTAAGAAACAAGTGTTTCCTGAAATATCATTTCCAGTTTTAATTAAACCAAAGATGATTTAATTTAATCCACAAAGTTGACTTGAAGATTAATCAGTTCCTGTGAAGCTCGGCCAATTCTCCATAGCTTACCTCAGACCTCTATAAAAACAGTTAAGAGAAAATAGACAATATTAGTATATTACCTTATTGAAATTACCTAATTGTGAAGACCCACAAACATGATTTTTAGTCTTGCTCCATTCTAGAACGATGATGTAGCACAAATGCCAATCAACCATAGCCTCTTTGAGTCTTAGTAGTTAACAGCATAAGTATTTGAAAGAATTCATCTTTAAAATTTTTACATAAAAGCAAAGTCCTATATTAAGTGATAGCTAAAATGTTGCTGATATTTATTATTACTGTCACTAATATTAACTACTCAAAACTTAATATCACCTCATAGAATATCAACTTCAGTAATCTAACTTAAATATTTTGTTTTACTCATCCCAAGTACTTAAAAATGAGCTACACCAATTTTGTTGTATATGATTTTATAGAAGATACATAAGAATTATAATCTGTAGTACAAATGCACTAGTAATTGAAAAATTCTTATCCTATATTTGTTTTAGTGTATGTTTATAATGTCAATCTCTCACAGAGGTATGAAATATTAATTGACTGTTTTCTATATAAGACAGTGAGATTATACATTGATTTCTATCTTTCCAAAAACCTTGTGAGGAGGGTATTATCCTGTTGTAAGCATGAAGGATCTGGAGTAAGAGCTGTCAAGTTTACTCCAGCATTACATCGTAGGTCTAGGATATGAATTTATGATGATTTTAACCAAAGATCATTCAGTATAGATCCATTCAACCCAGCAACAAAATTATACCATTCAGTGCTAGAAATATTTTGGTGATGTGGATCCTATCATACATTATTGAAGGGAATAGAATTTGAACAATTCCTCAGAAAGAAAAAGAACCTTAAAGAGCTTTATAATTTTGCTTCTACAATCCAGTCATAGATCTCTCTCCAGAGAAAATAAGTAGAAATATTAGAAGTTTATATAAAAGGCTTTTAATGCGTCGCTATGTTAACAAAAACTCAAAAAAGCTTAACGTCCCATAAAAGAGAATTGTCTAAGTAAGTAATAACACATGTTGGCACTCAGGTGTGCTAAATATTACACAGACATGTCTGCCTATGGTTTTCCCTCCACTTGCAATGTGCCTGTCCTTCTCCTCTGGCTGCCTTCAAAACTAGGCTCCACACTTCCTAAACACAGCTTTTCCATGACCTTCAGCTGTGACTGAGCTTCTGTAACTTTGTGCTCCCACAGATTCTGTGTTTTCCCTCAGCATGGTAATAGGCAGTGGAAGGATCTACCAAATGATCTGACTCTTATGGGTTAAGATATGTCTTGGTCACAATTATATACCTGATAGCCTACATTGTGCTTGATGTTTATGTGGTTCTTAAAAACTGTACATTGGGGGCGCCTGGGTGGCTCAGTGGGTTAAAGCCTCTGCCTTCGGCTCAGGTCATGATCCCAGGGTCCTGGGATCGAGCCCTGCATCTGGCTCTCTGCTCCACAGGGAGCCTATTTCCTCCTCTCTCTCTCTCTGCCTACCTGCGATCTGTCAAATAAATAAATAAAAATCTTAAAAAAAAAAAAAAACTGTACATTGAATTTACTTGAAATTGAGCAGTCAATGAATTTTCAATTCAACAGTTTGGTTAAATTGAACAGAAGGTATTTTCAAGGATAAAAGAAAAAAAAAATGTTTTTCCCAAAGCCTGGGAAGATTAAGTGAAAAATCTAAAGGCGTGTAACTAATTAGGGGTGTAACTGTAAGAGAAACCAAACTTCCTGATATTCAGAGTCAAAAGCTAAGGTTATATCTATATCTATATCTCTAGCTCTATCTATAAAACATTTTATTACTCTTAATAAATATGAAATATAATCTCTTTAATATTCTAATATTCTAAGGAAAGGTTTATGGATAATTTATTTGCATATAAATACAGCCCAATATGAAAATCATACATTCTAATGGAACTATTAATAGCTGACTCACAGTGTACTCTGTCCATGATGTAGCATCTGCATGAATATGTGTTATAGTATTGTAATTTAACCATAAACTTAGGGCAAGATTTGATTTTTCTACAAAAGCAAGCAATTGCTGCTAATTGTTTGCCTGATGATCTCAGTAGGAATTTAATTTGGAATCACTGATGTTGAATGCAAACATGCTTACAGGCAATGCATGCTATACTGAAAGCCACATTAAAAAAATGTATTTGTGGAGCGAGGCAAGAAAATATTGATAACTTCTACCTACAATAATACATAAAGTAAATTCCTCTACATTGTATGCTTTGTAGATACCCTATCAATAGCAAGGCAGCAATGTTCACTGGCACAAGACTGGCATGTTAATAAAATCCAACAAATAGTGTTGGGTCACTGGTTGAAGAAGGATGTGACTCTGGCACAGGCAACATGTGAAAACTTCAGGCTAAAAACCAGTAGCCATATTTCATGTTGATAAATCAAAAATAGTAATTTTCAGAGCGTCGATCTTTTTTAAAAAGTAGGCCTTTCACATCATGAAAGGCTTCAAATATTGTGCAGAGGAAATAAACTTTGGCAGTTAACCAAACAGCAGGGGGAAGGAAGAGGAGAGAAGAATATGGCATCAACAGCACATAAAGTAGTGGAAATGTCTCTCAAGGCATTGTATGTCCCCCAAATTCCGTTGAAGTCCAAATAAAATATTCTACAAATTTCAATGAACAGAAATAACTCTATTGGAAGAGCATTTTTGTGAGCAAAAAGTAGAGGAAAAAATCAGAGAAATCTGCCTCATGACAAGATGAAATATGTCATTTAGTGGATGGAAAAGGAAAGGAATCGTTTCAGAAAGCTTTTGGTCACAATGAGAACCAAGGACCGTGGCAACAATGCCCTCCTTGACAAAACTTTTGTCACGCTTCCATAAGCCCTTCTCTAAGGACTTAGCTTTGTCCTCAGGCCCTCTCCTGGTCTGCTTCTTCCTTTACTAAAGAATCATGCTAAGTCGATTCAGTGGGAATTGTTCCACTGATATCCGAGTATCTCTGAAATCTGATCAAGTCCTTTATTATTAATGCCCATGTCCGTGGCCTGCTTTTAGCAAGAATTCTGTCAGGCTCGTTTAGCAAGAAGCACATTATAGCTGAAATGTAATAAAGCTTCTCTTAGTAATTTTCCATCCACTGACTTCTGTCATTCTGCTCATTGGCTTTAAGTCCCCACTTGTCTTTGTTATATTTGGAGTTGAGTTTAAGCTCTCTCTCCTATTCAACAGTCTTGACCACCCCCCATTGCAATAGACCTGAATATGGCCCTCTTTACCATTTTTCAGTGTCAGCATACTTTTTCCTTGACAAAATATGATAGAGTATATCAGACGCTTAACGACTGAGCCACCCAGGTCCTCCAGAATTAAACAATTTTTGAAAATCAATCACACAATAAAGAAATTTACCCCAGTCAGACTTTCAGACAGGGAGATATAAAAGATTTATACCCAACTGTGTGTGAATTCCCCCACGTTCTCATTATGTGAGGAGATCTCTGTATTTATTGTATTTACCTATGAAAAAGTTAAACTTGTAATAATTTTGTGCACATGGTCATTTCAAGTTCTGAAGAACTGGACAGATTTCATGGCACCTAATAACTGAAAAGGAACATGAGAGTCATATGCAAATCTTTGTTCTACATACAAGAAACTGATTCTGAGATATTTGGGAAGGTGGTGGCAAGCCAACCCATAGTCTTTTGGCTGTTTATGATTGCATTAGGAAACCATACCACTGTGTCAGTTTTTCTATTAATAACTAAGTACATTTTCAGCGAGTGGTTTCTGTAGATCATTAATAGTGAAGTTAGTGTTTAAAATGATTATACCAAGTAATCAAGGAAGTATTTTATTAGTCCTATATGCTGTATTCAAGCAATAAAGGAAACATGCAGCACAGTTTAGGAAAAATTTTGCTGGAAACAGGTGCACATTTGCACACTCACTTATTTCTAGGTGATGCCAATAAAATGAGGTAATTAAAATCATCGTCACTTTTCCAATTTTTCTGCTGATATATGAGAAGCCAAGAGGTAAGAAGAAATGTACTCTGGGGCATGCCAGTTATTTTCTGCACTAAGGGTTTAATGGTTAGAATCACACTTTAGCGACATATCCTTGAATAAAAGGTGCTTAGGTAAAAATGCAGGAAAGTTAACCTTACATAAGAATTGAAAAATAACAAAACCTGGAATGGGGAGAAAGAGGAGGAGGGAGAGTGAAGGAGGGTTGGAGGAGAGAAGTGGAAAAGAAGGAGGAAAATAAGAACAAGGACAAAACAATAAAGTATATTTTGCTTTGTTGTAGAATTTACATCTTATAACTATTTCCTGATTTCATCCTGTGTTCCCTTCTGGGTACTGGGGA